TCACTTTATATGATCAACTGTGTAAAGTTTTGGGTGAATAGACATTCAGTTGTAGGAAAGAAATCTCTCAGATTTCATGTCTTCATTTGTGTTCTGAAAATGAATGAAAGTCATGGGTGAGTAAATGATGACAAATTTAAATTTTGGGTGAACTAACCCAATGGCAATGCAGTGTAGGCAGGACACATAATCCACATTTCCCTATTAACAGTGTTTCTCTTTGGTTTTATACAGGTGTCTGATGTCGATGCAGGGCACTAGCATCTGTTGGGTTGCTGACTATCATAGATGAAGATGTACTTCTCCAAATCTTCTCGACCCTGTGTCTTCTGCCATCATTGTTTAGGGCAGTATTGCAAAGAACAGTCTCCAGAATATACCTCAACTAAAACTAAAGTGATTTTTGAAGCTGCAATGCCATACTTAAACTCATCGTACTGATGCCTCCACTGTTAACAAGAAACATACCCTAAGTCAGATTGTTTTTGCTTGGTTTCAAAATGCTTGCAATACAAGTCAAAACTGCATTGTTGGTGTAAACCACAATAGCAAAGGAGCAATGGCAGTTGTAGAAAAACAATAAAATTGCATTACCTTTATAAATTTGAACTGTCACTACCATAAATGTATGTGTAAGTGTGAAGAATGGAACAATGTTTTCATTTATTTATAATGGATGTTTGAAGTACTTACAGTAATTTACTGGAGTAACACCTGTTTTTTTTTTCAAGGCAATCGGTTTGCATGATTTTTTTTTTAATTAAGATTACTGATTAGAATTTACAGTGACATTAGCAGGTGTCTTTATGTTAAATGTCTCTAATCAGCACAAACGTTTGTAACATTAAGAGGTGAGCGGGGCTTAATTACATCTTAAACACAAATTTACTTATAATAATACTCTTCAGTATATTTGTACAATCACTGGCTAAACAAGCACCATTTAATCAATGTAATAAATGAGGCTCGCTGCAAACTTTAAACACATGCAATGCGATCCGTTTCATTTGTCTGAAAATCATCTGTTGGGATATGAAATGAAATAAATAGTTTTTCGAGCACGCCGTTTCTCATAACATTGTAAGCGAATGGCTTAATTTAATGAGTCTCGTGTGATTGGCTTTAAGGTCGAAGCCGTGCGCCGTGTGTTTACGAATCTACAGGCGCATGACAAACAGAGTCTCGTAAAACAGACATTCTTCTTTCAGCTTTCTCTGGAGTGTCTAAACATCATGTAGCTGTGACTATCATATGCCAACAGATTATGAAGTATATTCCCAGCATGCCAACATAAGCACACCGCTGTTATTCTAACGCAGAAGGACGTGTTGCAGAAAATCAGACGTGCGATTCGTCCAGAGACAGATCTGCGGCCTCAACAATCCCATTTTTATAGTCAATGCAGACAATACAAGAACAATAATAAATGGCATTCCAGCAGAACTGGGCCTGATGACTCAAGATCTGGCCAAGACGCTCATTTTTCAGCTTTTTCTGGACTGGAAAATAAGCAGCGTTTACATTCCTCAGCTTGTCCTTTCGCTCAGCATTTGGACAAACGTTATAAGTCTGGCAGGAGCGCAATCAAACAACAAATCGACATGCATACAGGCGGATTACACATAAACGTCCTAGATCATAACTGGCAAAGAGAGAGAGAGCGCAGGGTGATTATGTCATTGACAAAACTATCGCTTTTTCAACATAATTCGCACAAAAACGAACATTCTGTCATCACTGACCTACAAAACCTGCATGACTTTCTGTAGAAAAAATTTAATTGTATGAACAAAGAATAGCAGAATATCTTCTTGTATGTTCCACAGTTGTACAGGCTTGAACGAGGAAATAAATGATGACGGAACTGTCACAGTTATAATTTAGTAAATGGCTTTAGTTCTTCATGCATCCTATAAGAACAACATCTTCCTCTCGGCAGGAGGATAGACATGATCAATCAACATGGTCAGACTGTAAACAAGCCAATGACACGTGGCAATATAAAACCCAAATCTCAAATAAACAGCAGCGGGCCTGTTTAGAGGCAGCATCTCAACAATAGAGCAGCGACACACACCACAGTCATCATTAAGACTCATAATTCACAGAGCAGAGAGGTTAAATAAACACTGAGCTTCAGCAGGCACACACACACACACACACACACACACACACACACACTGAGACTAAAGCACACTGGATGGGAAGAGCTGCAGCTCTGTGTGTGGCACCAGCAGACCTGCATTTATTTGTGACTGCATTGAGTTTGGGAAAACATGACATCATATACATCTGAGTCTGAGTTTGTTTTACAGCAAAAGATATGAACTAAAAGGAAGAGAATGCAGTTTGGAATGAATAAAGTTCTTGACTTCAAATGAAACTTTCTGAGTTCTGCAGGTGGGGATATACACACCAATGGAGTTACAGATAAAACTAGGTTAGGACAGGGATGAAATGAACAGAATGGCACTGATGGAGTTAGAGTTATAAATAATGGCAAAATTAGAAAGCAGAGACATATTTATGTATGTATGTATGTATGCTTTTTTTTTTTACTAGCCCTGCCAACATTTTTAGTGGTGCTTCCACAAAAGGAATATATATACAGTATATGTATATATATATATATATA